CCGGCAATAGGAATGAACCGCACAGCAATAATCAAACTCTGGTGATCACTCGTAATAACGTCGATAATCGGAGTGTTTAATATAGTATCTGAATTATCATTTTGTACAGTATTATAACGTCTACAAAATTTCCATTGATTGACTTGATATTTACCAGCAATATTAATTCAAGTATAATTTAAGTATGACACTTAGTAATAATGTTAATTTAAATACAATACATTATATTTCATATATCATATTGTATACATTAACAAATAATAAATCTTAAATTTTAATTAAATTATCATAATAAAAACTTAAAATATATAATTTAATTTTATCAAATTTATCTTTAAAATTTTGATAATTACAATAATAATTTGACTTCTAATTAAATTATCTCTATAATAGAGGATAATTTTTAGGCTTAATATGAAAAAAAAAGTGTCCAAATTATACTATTTTTCTTAAAGTGGTGCCTAAATCTTTTTGGGGTCAATCTAAGTGTCTAACGTTATAAATATTACTACTTTAGGTGTCTTTGCCGTAACGACTATTAAAAAAATATCGTTAAGTGACATGTGTCACATTATTGTAATTTTGAAATTTTTTATTTAAAATAAAAACTTAAAAATATAAATTATTTTTAAAAACCCCAAACTTTTTGGAAATCTTAAAAAAACCAAAAACTTTGAAAACCTTCATTTTAATCCCTGAATCCGCTCCAGCCACCACCCTTTGTCATCACCAAACCTCGACCCGAGCTCACCTCCACCCGATGACCAATAACCCCACGAATAGCCACCAAAATAGGAGCCAATGAACAACGAATCATGTGACCCCCCCCGATGAAAATCAAAGTTGCAAATCGCGACCTCACGCGATCCCAACAGTCAATTGACGACAATGATGATGACATTTGACTAGGGGATGATAAGGATGGCATCGGCGGCGGCGGCCGTGGCTTACAAGGGAGATAAGGTTAGGGTTAGTGCTAAAGATTTGGGGCATTTTATAATTAAGAGAAATTAGGGTTTTATTTTTTAATTTGATGATATTTTTAATTCTTTTTTAGAAAATTAAAAATTTTAAAATTATTTGAAGGTGAAAGATGTCGCTTAACGAGTTTTTTTAATGGTTGTTACGGCTGAGGCATCTAAAATGGCAACATGTGTAATGTTAGGCACTTTGATTGACCAAAAAAAAATAGACACCATTTTAGAAAAAAATATATAATTCAAACACTTATTTTTATATTAAACCTAATTTTTATATACTTGTTATATATTTGTCCTTATCCATACAAGGTGCATTCAAATTATATGACCTAGGTAGAACCATGGATTATGTAATTAATGGACTACTGCATTATTTCACATAGGTTTGACACGATGGTTCTAAGTATCAGTTTGGTTTCAGTTTTGAAATTTAAAATTTTTTTATCTAATAAAATAAAATAAAATTTATTATTTTAAATCTAAATTCAGTATACTATATTCTTTTACCTTAATATCACAAGCCTAATGGTAGAATTAGATGTAAAATAAGTGATTGATGTGTTAGTGGTGAAATAGCAGAAGAACATACAACACATACATATATATGTTAGTTAAGGATTGTGAGCACCAGAGGCGGACCCAGAGCCTTCGTCAGGGGTTGCAAGAGCCAGGGGTGACACTTTTGAGGGTGTCACTTATGGAGGGGTTGCTTGGAATATCCCGGGCACCATGGAGGTCCACCCCTGGATGAGGGGTTGCCCGGGATACCCCGGGCTCCATGGAGGTTCGCCCCTGGTGAGCACCTGATACATGAAGGGTGGGAGAAGAAAGTATGATAATTTTTTCGAGAAAATAATAAATACGCGGATCATCTCATAAACCTAACATGTGATCAATTTGAAACATTAAAAACTTAAAGGAGTCTCTAATTCATCTGCTGAGTAGTAATGTATTGATGAATAGAAAACCTAGCTCGAATATTAATGTTGAAACCTTGAATCATATAATTAATTTTCCGAATTGTCGCAAGTATTTTAGTGACGATGATTCTATCTTTTATGAAGATAGAACGTCCGAGAAAATTAATTCATATATAAAGTTTAATTAATCAAAAAGCTATGCATGCTTTTAATTTCAACTAATTTTTATGATAGTAAAAAGCTATTTTCCTCCTTTACCATATAGTAAGAGGTATAATATCTCAACCACCCATCTAAACTAGATCAATCAAAAAGCTATGCATTTGCAAGGAAATATTTAAAAATAATAATTTAATTTTGATGATATCTTTTGATCAATTTAGTTTATTAGAAAAAGGAATATGTATAAAGCTCAAACAACCAAGTTGAACAACTACCATCTAATAATGAAAGGCACTATGAAAGGACCTAATGTGGTTATAGCAAGAAAGTCGGTCCATTCTCTTATGTAATTAACAACAACTCATTATTTAGGTTCTACTATATATTAATTAATATACTAATAGCTTTAACCACAAGTCTTCCAGCCCTTTGCTTTCTTCGCATGCTCTTGGACATGCAGTTTTGTTAATAATACCTGCTGCTATACCATTTTTTTACAATGTATACAGGTAGTTGGAATTTAGGGAAATTTAAAAAATATAGGATCAAATCTAACCTAGCCAAATTTTTATCTCTTAAGAATATCGTTTAGGTTTAGTCCAGAACATAAATAACAGTGGCATGCATGTTTTAATTTTTTTATTGAATTTGTGATAAATGTTAAAGTTATATATAAATACACGAATCAAACGACATCAATAGTGAATGATTGTTGATATCCCTTAAAGTTCGAGCATCATGAATGTCAAGGATCTGAATGTTCAATGCCAAATAGTTGAGAATTACTTTAAACAGATACTACCTAATATTTACTCCGGATTTATCAAATATAGTGATTAACGATAAGAAAAAAATAATTAAATCAACGATTTATGATTTATTCCTTCCTATTTAGACAAAAATCAACCTATAAAAAAGAGTGATCCTAGTTTATGTGTTCATCCCATCCTCATTTTGCTGCTCTCTTTTCTATTTACTTTTTATTTTTCTTGGAACTGTGCTTATTATAGGATCAGTTCACAGGTCGTGTCTATTCGAAGTTTTTGTCTTGAGGTCTTAAAATGTATATATAATTTAAAATTTATTTAAGATAATTTTCATAGAAAACTATTTGCCAAGATAATGAGTAACCTCAGATTTTGTCAATCCATGCTATTATACACATAATTTGAAAGGGTTGGAGATCTTCTACATGATTTGGGATATGATTAATTCATCCCTTGAAGATCATATGCCGGCTCACGCGATGACATTAAGTTAAATCATTAACACAATAATATTTTAATATCGTTTTGGAGTTAAAATAACCCCCCACTAAAGTATATGATAATAATTTTTCTTTTTTATCAAATAAAACTCAATTACTCAAAATATAAATAAGATTTGAGGAATATAAAACTTATTTTAATATAAAAAAGTTAACATTTATTGTATATACTATTTTTATATGGTTATTATTAGGCAAACTACGTCATCAGACACGAATTTATTGCAATTTTCTTATTTTGATCATTAAATTATTCTTCTTAATAAAAGTGTCACTAATATTATGTTTTAATCACTAAAAAAATACACGTAAATTGTTGATGAGGAGAGATAAAATAATATAAGAAATAAAAAAATCCACATAACATCATTATTGATGACGAAAATAAGAAAAAAAACCATAACGTTAATAACATTTTTTATCAAAAAAATCAATAACTGAAATAAGAAAATGATAATAAATTGGTGACTAAGAGTGCAATTTACCCTTATTAGTATGAGCTACACACTAATAGTCATAATATATTTGAATTAAAAGTAGAGTAAACCTAGAGAGAGCTCAGGTACGGTGAAATTTAAACTCGAGATCTTTAAATTTTCATGACATAGCACATTCAAATATATATATCTAATTTATTGTAATAATGATGATGTAAACCAAATTAATGTATATAAATGATTCATTGATTATAAGATTTTACTTTGTTGAATCTCATAATCATTAAAAGTTATAAAATGGTCCTTAATTATAGGGTGATATTTTGTTAAGTCATCGATTATTAAAAATTACAAAAGGGTCACACAACTATTTATATGTTCCAAATTTATTTTTTTTCTTTTAAAAATCGATGGTTGTTTGAGCTAGACGTTAACATACTGATTAAGATATGATAAAATTATATTTTAATGATGTCTATTGGCACAGTTATTGCTTTCAAACACTGACTCGACGACATAATATAAACGAAAAGTTGATCCACAAATACAACTCAAATGATTCTATGATCATATTTTATCATATCTTAGTCAATAGATTAACGTTTAGCTCATACAACCACTAATTTTTAACAAAAAATGACGAATATAGAATATATGAAAAGTTTGATGTCTATACTCAACAAAATAACACCCTATAATTAGATGATTATTTTATAACTTTTAATAATCAATGGACTCAATAAAATAACACTCTATAGTCGATGAATATATATATATATATATATATATATATATATATATATATATATATAACAATTTATATAGAAAAAGGAGAGAGAAATTTTATTCCAAATGAGTATTGAACCCAACCCACAAGGCCACAACCTAATGGAGGAAAATATACGTTAACTAAGAGCTTTTAAGAATTTTTAACCGTTTGCTCTAGAATTTATTAAAAATATGTATTATTAAAATTAATATTGAATAAATTAATATTTAATTTTTTTATCTAATACACATATCATCTTTGTTTTACGAGCTTCGTAAGAATCATGAGAGAAAAGAAGCATTTTTAGAAATAAAAGAGTACAATGAATTATACATATCTATCATCGTCCTAACCCATCATAAGAGGTAAAAAGGATGGATTGATATGCAAAACTCATTTGTAACAAAATTGGTACATTTACAATATTCTAAAAGGTCAAATGATACATATTTAGTACTTTTTTGCTATTTCCCACCCTTTTTTTCTTTATTTTTATTGGAATCATGTTTCTTTGAGCTGGATAACATGAGAATTACAACCCTCGTTGTTAATTACCCTCCATTGTTGAGCAATGTCTTTAGCAATTTTAACGGCGTCAGAAGCCGTTCCTAGGAGCCCTCTTCTTGTGAACCCAACTGTGTACAATCCCTCCTCTGCTTTCCATCCGTCAGGAAACGCCGTTTTTGGCATCCCATCTTTGTTGAATGATTCACATCCCTGTGTTTTCCAGCAAGGGCAAGGAACATATTAGATAAATTTTTAAATAATCATTGAATTTTTTAAAAGATTATAAAATGGTCACTAAAATTATCAATTTATTTTTATTAGTCTTACAAAATGATTCTTAAATTTATCAAAATTTATTATTTAATAACCATTTTGTAAGAAAAAATATTTTTACATAATTCAATAATCTTCTATATGCTTTATAGAAAAAGACCAATGAAGATTTTTCTAGGTTTCTTTTTCCTGGTTTAGGCTAATGAATCCTAAAAATCAACACAATATTTGATGATAGTTACACATCAAGAACTCCACAGAGAATTCAATTCCCCCAAACCTCTATTTAAATAAATATAAAATATAGTATATATTTTAAAAACGAAAAAAGAGCTTATGTTTTTTCCTTGCAGAGGGAGAAAAGAAGAGATTTGTTGGGTTGTGGGCAAAATACAAGTGTCCAGGGCAGAAAGTGATGTGTGATTCACAACAAGATAGAACTAAAAACTAAACTAATGTAACAACTCAGTGTCTGATTACCTTGAGCCAAGTAGGCACATTGCTTTTGTACCCGGTTGCCAAGATTATTGAATCAATCTCCTTTTCCTGTCCATCCACAAACTTGGCCCCATTCCTTGTTATCTCTTTCACACCTTCCACCACCTGAAATACCTAACAACATCAACCAAATACATATATATTTGAAAGAAAAAAAAACATGTGATTCGTTGAACATGGGAGAGTTTGTTTACCTTAATTTTCCCAGTTTTTATCAGTGACAAGGCACCGGCATCGAGCACCGGTGTCTTCCCGGTGATGTTCTTGAGCTCGATTGGACCGGTCTTAGGCCGTCGGAGACCAATTTGGTCGGTGTTGCCTAAGATGAAATTAGCTACCAGCAGCAGGAACTTGTCCACTAGCTTTAATGGGAACCATTTGAGAAGTGCCATTGCTATTCCAAATGTTGAGAAACCAAACATTTCCGTGGGTAATACATGCACCTGCAAGAACCGAACATAAAATGAGTAACAATATCTTTTAACAATGTTTTTTCAAACAAAATCAAATGAATTACTTACTGTGTTTCTTACAGCCATGTGAGGGATTGCATTGTATCGACAAAGGTCCAGGCTGACCTCCATGCCGGAGTTACCACATCCGATTACCAAAACCCTCTGGTTTTTGAACTCGGAACCAGACTTGTACGAGCTTGTATGGACGACAGAACCGTGGAACTTGTTCATCCCGGGAATGTCTGGTATTACAGGCTCGGCATTTTCACCAGTAGCGACGATCAGCCACCTCGAAATGTATCCGGAGTCTTGTGTTTGAACCCTCCAAAACCCCAAACCATGATCGTAATGGGCACTTCGCACGGCTTGGTTGAACCTCGGATGAATGGAGAAGTGTGAAGCGTAGGATTCCAAGTAAGAGACGAACTGGTACTTGGCCGGATACCTTGGGAAATCTTGAGGGAATCCGAGGAGAGGTAACTCGCAGAACTGTTTGGGGAGATGGAGTTTGAGACGATCATAAGTTCGGTGTTGCCATAGAGAAGCCAAGCAATCGCTTTTCTCAAGGATAAGTGAAGGGACGCCTTGTTGAGTTAAGCAAGCTGATGCTGCTAGACCCGAAGGTCCTGCCCCTACGATGATAGGTCCATGAACCCAAACGCAGTCTGTGTCATTGTGATGATGTTGCTGAGAAGAACCCATGTTTTTTCTTCTTCAAACAATCCCAAGAAAAAGAAAGGAAAGGGATAGTGAAAGAAAGCTTAAAAAGAAAGAAACAGAAGACCCTTTTTCCCTTTTCTGCTAAATCCCCTGATCTTTTCACTCTGTAAAGCTCTGTTTTCTTTTTCTTTTTGCTGAGGAAAATGTTACGAGGGTGAGGTGGGATATATAAAGGGAGACGAAGAGAGAACGTGCAGAGAATGAGTCAATGGGAAGAGAAAACCCAAGACTGGCGGATAGGGAATGGGCTTCCAATGCAACAAAAATCAAAATTTTTTATAGGGGCGAGTAAATATGGACGTTAGAAAGGGTTTCGGCCGAGAAGAAGAGACATGTACCTCAACTATACATTAGGGTGGTCATGCAATAAACTTAGACATAAAATGTAATCATGTTTATCATCGATAAAGATTTTGATTATTTGGTAAAATTTACTATTATTCTCTATTTATATTTATATATTATTTTTTGTAATATTAAATTTATCCTTTTAAAATTTAAAATTAGTTCATTTTAAATATTTAATTAGAAAAAATAACAAATAATAATATTTCTATTTCTATTTATTAAAGAAGTTAATAAGTAACAACATTTATTTATTTGATATTTAATAAATTATATATAATGTATAAATATGAAACTATATCACAACAATAACAATATTAATAATTTATAAAAAAAATAAACAAACATGTATAATATATCACATTACAGCTCATGAAATTTTAATATTTATCTATTTCCGAAATAAAATTAAAAAGAAAATGTTAAATTTCTTCATGATTTATTATATGGCAAAAGTGTATTTTACGCGCATGTAGAAACGTGAGGCAAAAGGAATTAAGAAAGTGCAGATGGATTGTTGGCAAGATGGGTTTAGGCCATGCTGCCACGTGGATTTTGCTATAGCATTGTAATAGCTGTTGCCTATTCGGAAGCATAAGAGATTGCTAGGCGCTGAGAGCCGTCTGATCATGATTTTCTGCCGCTTGTCCACGCGGCATTTTCTTCTTAAAATCAAAAAGGCATACGTGTCATTTCATTTTTTTCTCTATATTTACAAGTGATTTCACACATAAAATGTGTAAAATGAATACTTATAAAAAATATAAATATTTTTGACTCTTTAACGATTATAAGTATTTTAAGAAGAGTTTAATATAAAAATTAATTAAATAATTAAATTTCTAATACTCATGTTTCATCTAACAAATCGTATATATATATATATATTAGTCTTATGAATCACAAGATAAGAATAATTTTAGCTTTGTATAAATATGAAATTTTTTATCAAAAATGAGTGAAGAAAGAGCATCATGCACACGTACCACCAAATTATAAAAGACATTCATCAAAAATTTATTTTTTATTTGTGTTATTAAAATGTTTATCAAATCATTATTTAAATTAATTAAGTTTTCACACCATAAGTCATGTGGTGACGGTTAGGTGGCATGGAGAAGTCCATTCCATTAAATTCCTTGTAAGAAAGTACAAAGCATGGTTTTGTCCAAAAAGTTAGGCTATTTGACATAATTGACACCAATTTCATTTAATATTCTCTTTCTGACACCGTTTGATTAATATTTTCTGAAGTAACACCCTTTTTGCTGAGCTGGCAAAGGCGCGTCCCCGGGGACGCGCTTTACCCGTGATTTCGCTGAGTTTGATGCCACGTGTGGAAGGCACATCCCCGGGGACGCGCCTTTTGCCAGCTCGACTGCCACGTGTGGAAAGCGCATCCCCGGGGACGCGCCTTACATTAAATGCCATAAATGCCCCCATCTGTTTTTCCTAACTACCCCTCATCCTCCCCTATATAAACCCCCTCAACCCTCCCTCATTCTTCACACCAAAATCATATTTTCCTCTCTTATATAACTCAAATTCTCAAACTATTTGAGTTTTAAAATTTTTATTAATGATAAGAAATTTATTTTTATGTTAGTATTTTTTTAAATAGTTATTATTTTTTATATTAATATATTTATGTAAATATTATTTTTTTATTAAAATAATATTTATATAATTATTATTTATTTAGAATTATTAATTTTTTTGCTAATTATATTGTTTTGTCTACAGTTATAATGGAAAACGAAATGCTGTTACGATTGGATATTGATCATATCTCCAGACATTTTAGCGATATGATAATATTTTTTATAATTAATGTTAATATTTAAATTTATTTTTATTTTAAAGTTATTATGAATTTATATTAATTTTTATTTTTTATAATGTATATTATTTAGGATAATGATCGTATTTTAGAGACTTTTATTAAAAATCCACGTATACCGACACCAGAACGTATTTTGCCATATTTGGCTTCTGCCGGGTTCGGGTATATTGCAACAATTATAGGCGGTTGCAAACTCGAACCTGTCCTAATTTATGCACTGATTGAGAGGTGGAGGCCCGAGACACACACTTTTCACCTTCCATGTGGAGAGGCCACAATTACATTGGAGGATGTCTCTATGCATCTGGGGCTTCCCGTCGACGGAAATATGATGTGTGGTATGGCGGATGGTGATTGGCAATCAATGTGCATTGATTATCTTGGAGCTGCTTCGCCAGAGTTTAATGGAGGTAGAATAGCTTTATCTTGGTTGAAAGCTAATTTTGAGGTTTTAAATGAAAATGCTTCAGAGGATCAAGCAAAGGCATGTGCTCGGGCATATATTCTACGAATAATTGGAGGAATATTGATGCCCGACAAATCTCGCAACCAGGTGCATTGTATGTGGTTGTGGCATCTGATCGATTTTGATGAAGCTGGAAGATATAGTTGGGGCGCTGCAGTTTTGGCATTTCTCTTTAGAGAAATGTGTCGGGCGACGAATTATAAGAAAACTGCTATCGGTGGATGTCTTCTGCTTCTACAATCATGGGCGTGGTTCCGCATGCCATTCTTAGCCCGATCGTGAATGAACCATACGTATTCCCCTTATTGTTGAGGTAATTTTCGAACTAAATTTTGATTTAAATATTTTCAATTAAATAAGGTGATATTTAGTTTATATTATATTTCATAGGTGGTCGATGAAAAGAAAGGACCATAAAAGTATACCTACTAGGTTAGAGGAAATTCGTTTACTTATTGATACGAAAGCTGGGTCTGAGGTATGTTTTTAAATTTGTTTAATTATTAATATTTTAATTTAAAATGCTAGATATAATTAGAATATTTTATTTATTTGAATTGTATATTTATATTTTAGTTTCAGTTGATACCTTATGCGAGCGATGAAGTGAAAGCTTGTATCCCACCCCACCTTAGTGGGTCATTAGAGGTATGGATATCGGTTATACCTCTTATATGTTATGCTATTATTGAGTGGCATCCAGTTGATCGCGTGCTCCGTCAGTATGGTTGTACGCAATATATTCCTGGAGCACCTAGGAATTTAGACGACGTGCATAACATATATATACGAGGAAGGAAAGATGTTAACTGGGTGGTGAGACCCAGAGATTGGATTGCGCTTTGGGAGAACCGATATACATTGTTGGCCCCTCGACAATATTACGTTGAAACTGGTCATATGGTTACGGATAACTATATGGACTGATTTAATGAAAATGGGAAGTTGTTTCTACTTTCGGCGGAAGCACGAGGGGTTAACATTCCTAGGCGCCGAGAAAGACGTCAACCGTCTCAATATCATCGTCCCCCGACGCGTGGACGGAGAGAAGGCGCTACCGGTTCTGCATTAGTCCCACCACAACATCCTTATTCGTCGATGCCGTAGGGGTACATGCCCAGCCCTCCACTTCATATGCCAAGCCCACCAGTTTATATGCCATCTCCGCAGGGTTACATTCCGAGCCCGCAGAGTTACATTCCTAGCCCGCCATGTTACATGCCTAGCCCGCAGGGTTTTATACCATATGGAGGTGCATATACGATTATGTTTAATAATCCAGCATATGGTTCATATACATCTTATTTGGCTGGTGGTGCTTCTCCGCAGACACCTCAATCTCCATCTGGATCACAGACATCGATGCCAATGTTTCCACAGTTTTCACAGTTCCCGGGGAGCGGTGAGATTGTTACTAGCACTCCACCAGGGTCGTTATTTTATACAGGCCCTTCAGCCCCTTCCACGTCATCTACACCAAATGAAGAAAATGTTGCTGATGATGATAGTGAAGATGAGGAGACTGAAGAACAAGTTCCACGAAGAAATCCTCCACGAAATAGACAACCACCGCCATGTGGAACTCATTCGAGAAGACGACATCGGTGATCCAGTTGTATTTAATGTTATTTAAATAATTATATTTCAGAATTTTATGTAATTTGGTTATGTTATTTAAATGTTTCATGGTTGTTACATACATATTTTTAATGTTAATTTTTATTCACATTTAACATTAAATGTTTGATAAATGTTTTTTAAATACAAATTATATTATTCAAAATTTAAAATAAAAATAAAAATAATATTATTCGAAATTTAAATTTAAAATATAAATTATAGTATTCGAAATTTAACATTAAATTTCAACTTAATATTCCAATTGTATTCGAAATTAAAAGTTATATTCCAATTATAGTTCACAATACTTAAATTGAAATTAAATTTATCCATACATATGATTTTATCATTAACATACGCGCTTTCAAGTCCCCTAAATATTTTTTTAACTTTTAAATACATAAATAATAATATAATCAAAATCAAAAATAATAATATAACCATATGTGTAATATTATAATTTCATACATTTTTCATATATTGTTATATCATATTAATATAGATAATTCACTCCACCTTTAACACACATTAACAAAATACATTTGATAATTCTTACATTATAATCGAAACATTTTACATAATATATTATTAATTTATAATAATAATAAAAACAAAATATTTATTATTAAACAAAATACGTGGCAGTCGAGCTGGCGAAAGGAGCGTCCCCAAGGATGCGCCTTCCACACGTGGCATCCAACTCAGCGA